AGAGAGAGAAACATCAATGTGCGGTTGCTGGGAGCCATGGCCTGCAACCCAGGTATGTGGCCTGACTGGGAATTGAACCTGTGACATTTTGGTTCGCAGCCCGCGCTCAATCCACTGAGCTATGCCAGCCAGGGCTTCACCTATTTTTTTTAATGTAGCTACTAAGAAAATTTAAAACCACACATGGCTCATATTGTATTTCTACTAGCTACATTAATTGAGATCCTTTGCAGGGTATAAGAGCTCCAGATGTCCACCTGTTCATTATTAGAGTGTTATGTGCCAGGCACTATTTTAGGTGCTGGGGATAGAGCAGTAAGAAAGACAGACACCGTTTCTGTCCAATTGGGAAAGGCAGCGAATGTCAGGTTGCCATAAGGGCTATGGAAAACAAAGCAGGATCAGAGGTGACTTTGACGTGAGAGTTCAGATTTCTGACAGGGCCATCAGTGAAGTGGCATTTGAGCAAGGCCTAAATGATAAGGCACAAACCATGCAGAGGTCTTGGGGATACTCCAGGCTGATGCAACAGCAATGTAAAGGCTCTGCACCAGGAACAAGCTTGATGTGTCAGGACTGAAGGTCCGTGGGAACATGGTAAGTACTGAGAGTAGTAAATCACATCTTACCTTGGCAAGAAGTTTGGATTTCATTTTAAGTATAATGAGAAAATATTGGGTTGTTTTTATATAGAGGCGCTGTGACCTGCTTCATAATTTTAAAAGGTGCTGCTGACAGCCTCTGTGGAGAGGAACGAAGGAGGGTGAGAACAGAGACAGGGAGCTGAATCGGGAGCCACGGCCTCCTAACCAGCAACGCTGGCATCGTGGACTGGGGGGTGGTCTGAGGCAGTCAGAAAAGCCAAGAGAACACGCTGACTGGTGTGGGAAGAAGAAACGGAATCAGGGACGACTTGGGTCTTTGGCCTTGACAACCATGTGAGAGAGGTGCTGATGGGAACAGTAGAGAAAACTGGTGATGAAACAGGTTTTTGGGTGAAACTCGAGACTTTTGTTTTGGACACATTAATCTGTAATGACATCAAGTAAGGCTTTCTTTCGCATGAATAAGTCTGTGTGAAACTTGAGGGAGGGGTCACGGCTGGACATGCACGTGAGTCAGCAGCATATGGTGGTATGTAAAGCCAAGGGAACGGGTTAGATCACCGAGCAGACAGAAAGCAGAGGACCGAGGGTTTGGCCGAAAGCACTTCAAAATGTGTCAGGAGACTAAAAAGATGCAACTGGTGAAGTAGGAGAAATGCAGATGGTGATTGCAATCAAAATGACAAAAAACCCTTTCAAATAGGGAGTGGACAACTGACTCAGCTGCTGCTTGACACTGCAAAGACTCACTGGTCCGGGCACTTTAGGGGCTCCTTCCTCCCAGGCCCTGGCTCCTTCCTAAAGACTATCTCCTTGTGAAGGAGACGGGTGCTCGATGCTTATGAGTTGTGGGACCTTAAGTAACATCAAGCTGACCTTCGCAGAATGGATTGGAGAAGGAAGAGAAGAAAGCTGCCATGTTGGGGAGACCAGGTGGCAAGGAACTAAGGGCAGCCCCTGGCTAAGTCTGTTAGGAAATAAAACTCAACAACCTCAGTCCAGCCCTTGAGGAACTGAAATTCTGCCAACAACTTTTTAAAAAATATATCTTATTCATTATGCTATTACAGTTGACCCATTTTCCCCCTCACTCCCCTCCCCCTGCCCACATTCCCCCCCTTTAGTTGATGTCCATGTGTCATAAGTTCTTTAGCTTCTACATTTCCCACACCATTCCCTCCCTCCCTGTCTATTTCTACCTATTGTTCATGCTACGTATTCTGCTACTTATTCTCTGTACCTTTCCCCCCTCTCTCCTCCTCCCACTCCCCTGTTGCTAACTCACCATGTGATCTCCATTTCTGTGGTTCCGCTCCTGTTCTCTTCGTTTGCTTAGTTTGCTTTTGTTTTAGGTATGGTTGTTACTGTGAGTTTGATGTCTTTTTTCACTGTTCATATTTTTTATCTTCTTTTTCTTAGATAAATCCCTTTAACATTTCATATAATAAGGGCTTGGTGATGATGAACTCCTTTAACTTGGCCTTATCTGAGAAGCACTTTATCTCCCCTTCCATTCTAAATGAAAGCTTTGCTGGATAGAGTATTCTTGGATGTAGGTCCTTGCCTTTCATGAGTTGGAATATTTCTTTCCAGCCCCTTCTTGCCTCCAAGGTCTCTTTTGAGAAATCAGCTGACATTCTGATGGGAACTCCTTTGTAGGTAACTGTCCCCTTATCTCTTGCTGCTTCTAGAATTTTCTCCTTCATTTTAATCTTGGATAATGTAATTATGATGTGCCTTAGGCGTGTTCCTCCTTGGGTCCAACCTCTTAGGGACTCTCTGAGCTTCCTCGACTTCCTGGAAGTCTATTTCCTTTGCCACATTGGGGAAGTTCTCCTTTATTATTTGTTCAAATAAGTTTTCCACTTGTTGCTCTTCCTCTTCCCCTTCTGGTACCCCTATAATTCGAATAATGGAACGTTTAAAGGTGTCCTGGAGGACCCTAAGCCTCTCATTTTTTTAAATTCTTTTTTTTAATTATATATCTTTCTATTTATTTATTTATTTTTAGAGAGGGAAGGGAGGGAGAAAGAGAGAGAGAGAGAGAGAGAAAGAGAAACATCAATGTGTGGTTGCTGGGGGCCATGGCCTGCAACCCTGGCATGTGCCCTGGCTGGGAATCAAACCTGCGACACTTTGGTTTGCAGCCCACGCTCAATCCACTGAGCTATGCCAGCCAGCGCTTCCTCATTTTTTTGAATTCTTGTTTCTTCATTCTTTTCTGTTTGGTTGTTCCTTTCCTCCTTCTGGTCCCTTCCATTGATTTGAAACCCAGTTCTCTTTCCATCACTATTCATTCCCTGTGCATTTTCCTTCATTTCTCTTATTGTAGTCTGCATTTGTTCATCTAATTTATGACCCAAGTCACCAATTCTGTGAGCATCCTGATCACCAGTGCTTTGAACTGTGCATCTGATAGGTTGGCTATTTCTCAGTAGCTTAAAAAGACTGACTCTGGGGCTTTTAACTCTGTTTGAGCCACCTTTTTTATTTTACTTTATTGTTTTCCTTTGGTCTGGTTGCGCCTGTTATGTATTAGGGGTGGAGCCTTAGGTGTTCACCAGGGCAGGACACCTGTCGCTGGGTTGTGACGTTGTATGTGGGGGCGGGGTCTGAGAGGGAACAATGGCGCCCACTCTACTCTCACCAGGACTCCAGTCCCCCTTGCCACTTCCCACAAGCAAATTGGGCCCTTCTGGTGCTGGCTCCCAGGCAGGTGGGCTTGTGCACTCTCTTGGACTCTGTGGGTTTCTCCAAGGAGCCTCCTGTGAGGCTGAGAGAATCCCCTGGCCTCAACTCCCACTGGTGTTTTCAGCCGGTGCCTTTAGGCTTTGTTTCCTGGCGCTGGGTCCCTGAGTTGCGTGGTCTGTGCTGCGCTGCCCGTTTTCGATTAATTTGTCTGCGTGCGAGTGTGCGGATGCGGACAGCCAGCTACCTTGCACGCCTCACTGGGTCTGCTTGTTGCCTCCCGCACCCAGGGTATGCCACCGGTCTGTCAGCTGCCCCTGCACCTCTGGAGTCCGCCAACTGCCATCTGCACCCTGTGCACCTGCACCTGCCAGCCACCGCTTTTTCCTGCTGGGACCCCTCTCCGTAGGCCTCAGATTCCGCCCCTCCTTACCGGACTGGGTGTATGGTATTCAGACTTCTGTTTGGTTCATTTCTCTCTGTTCTGGTTGTTTTTTTGTTTGTAAATTCTTGTTGTCCTTAGTTTTGGTTGCGCGAGGAGGTACAGTGCGACCACCTATGCCTCCTTCTTGGCCAGAATTCTGCCAACAACTTAAAAGTGAGCTTGGAAGCAGATCCTTCCCCAGCTGAGCCCTCAGATGAGAACCATGTCCTGGCCCAAGCCAATAATTTGACTGCAGTCTTGTGAGAAACCATGAAGCAGAGAACCTGTTAAGTGCCTGAACCCGATCGACAGAAACTATGAAGTAGTAAATGTGTGTTGTTTTAAGCCACTAAGTTTGCGGGGATTTACAAAACAATACATAATTAATAAAGCACCCATTAAAAAGGTCAGGCAGGTCAGAACCTTCTGAAAACCTGGGGATCTTTCTGTAGCCAGAATCAACCATTACAGTGTGTGTGTGTGTGTGTGTCCCACAGCATCCCAGAGGCTTGTGCAGCCGACTCCATAGAGATCCCCTTGTGAGCCCAAGTGACTAAGTATCACTTGGGTGACTTTGTCAGGTTCTAGGTGCTAGCCCCATATGCTCACAAGCAGTGCATCGTATAAGTAAAGGCCACGACCAGCAGGGTGGGGTTAGGGTTTTACCTAGCAGATCAGCCCAAGGAATATCCACCCCCGGAAAGGAACTTGGGCGACTATAGTTTCAAGTACACATCTCCCCTTTGACAGCATGTTGTGACAGATTATATGGCACTGAGGAAGGAGTGCAATGATGGATATGCTATGTAGTTAATTCCCCGGAATAAACAGGAAGTGAAGTGGAGTCCCACAAGTGTCCAGCCAGGTTTAGCACTAGAGTAACTCAGTCAAAAAGCCTGTTAAGTTCTGGGATGATTCAGGTCAAAATGAGTTTTGATCTGAGTTAACTCATAAACAAGTTCGCTATTCTTCTCGTTTCTCACCCACTGCCCTGCTCTGTTTTTCCACAGTATTTTAAAGTTGCCATTTAAGTGGATTTGTCTTGCTGCAGAGGGCTGAACTCTGAATCTCCTCCTCAGTGAGGCCACAGAGTGGATTCATATAATGGTTAGTGGCAGCCTTCAGGATCTCCTCTAAGCGTAAAACTCTGTGAGTTTAGATGCCAACCCTCCCCCAACCTGGCCACTGCCGCTTCCTCAGACTCCAGTCACTCTAGCTAGGCAGAAAGAGCAGAAGGGGAAGCCAAACCTCACTGGCTGTGCAGAAACACCAGAATCACACACTGCAGTGCAACCAAGCCAAGTTGTTTATCATCCTCCATTACCCAACATTCCTGTTCCAGATGAATTTGAAACTGAAGTTGTACCAATTGTGAAGTAGCCTAAACCCAATCTTAAAGACTAAAAAAAAAAAAATTAAAAACAGTTCCCTCTGGAAATCCTGGTCAACCTTTTTATGGGAAGAAGAAACTCTTCATCTCCAATTCTCTGACTCATCAGGAGAACAGAGGGAGACCCAAGAGAAGGAAAGTACACTGGTCAGTACACTGCAACTGACTGCTGGGTGTCCGTGACAAGAGAAGATCCCAAAAAAGACTGATGTGATTCATTACCATCCCAATTGAACCTAATAATGACAGCATTACAGTCACATAGGGTCTCTTTGCAAGAAGTTCACGATTCACCTACATACCCTCAATCCTCATGCCACCTCCCACCAAAGCAGAGAGTGGGGGCAACAAGGAGGTGGCAGGTCCTTGCCATGAGACCTGTTTGTCAGAGTCCGTTCTCAGTGAGTCAGCCCCTGGAAGTTGGGGTCAGGACTTGAAGACAGGGCCACTGGTTGCCTGAGCAACTTGTCCACTATGCTGATTTTAGCATCTTGCTTCTCAATGTCCTCATACGGTGTCCAGGACAAGTCATGCTGCAGCTTGTAGGCACCGAGGAAGTCATGTGGACAGCTTGTCCCCCATTCCTAGAGAAGGCAAAGGGGTCAGTTCTGATTAGGATAAGACATAAAGACATTTTCTAATTATGCCACAAACTTATTTTTTGGCTTTTTACTTCGGACCGGTCAGAATCATCCTGGAAAGCATTACATCAGATTCCTCCCTTCACAGAGATAATGTGAAATAGCTTAAGCACATGTGTATTTTTCAGAGTCATATCTAGGCTCACGTAACCTCCCATTTTCTGGAAAAGTATTTACCAACCCCTATGCCTATATTTCCACACACATGCCAGGAACTTCTCAAAGACTAGAGTAGATTTTTGTGCAAAAATAAATGTTCTTACCTTTGGAGAAATAATAGAAAAATACCGCTGACCACTCTCCCGTTTATAAAGGTAGTAAATGTTGCCGGGTTTTTTCACTATATTACAGGCTGCATGGTGCAAGTCAGCATCTCTGCGAGCATCTTCCAATACCTAAGAAGCACAGAGAGGTAACAAATTAGGTACTGAAGGTAACAGGCACTCGTATTCATCGATCACCCCAATTAAAATCTAGAAACTGTTCCATGTTTACGATCTTGCTTCCTCCCCTAAAGCAATAAATCACTGCTGGCATCTGAATGATTCTAAAGAGACAAAAATTAGACTGGAACTCTACTATGCTGTAAAAATCCCTTTAGAACAATTATATTTAAAAATGTTAAGTATTACCGGCTTTGAGTGGTTTTTAAATTTCTTTCCTACTTTTCTGTAGTAAGTACATTGCTTTTATAACTGAAAACATATTTTCCCCTCAAAATGCTTTACGTCACTGAACTTTCTCCTAGTGGAAAAACTCAGCTTACACTTAAGCTCTTGGGCTTACTCTATTTCACACAATACCCCTGTATTTCTAGGAGGTACTGCAGACAAGCTACGATGATTATACGCAAGTTCAGTCAACCCCATGAATGGAATGAAGACAACGAAGGCCTGCACAAAAGCCATGACTTACCTGCCTGGCCTGTTCTTGCAAATGCTGGATTTGCTCCGCTATCACTGTCAGCTTATTGGTGGCATTTGCCTGGACAAATTCATCAGCCTAAAGGTGAGAGAAAACTGAACTGTGGGTAGAAAAAGGATCAGATTTCTGTGATGCTTTTATTTAGATCTCAGTGTGAAGAGTTACATCAACATCTTTGCTTGTGTCTAAAATATTCTTCCCTCCTCACCACTCCCCCATGAACTCCCACTCATCTCAAAGCCCAGCTCAAATGGCACTGCTTATGAGAAGCGAACCCTGCCACAACCCTACCCCACAGGATTAAGGGCTCCTTCCTGTCTACTTCCCATAGATGTCCACCCTTTCCAGTCCGTGTTCTAGTCACACGGGACTTCTTCGGTCCACAACCTACTCTGTTCTGTCTTGCTACCAAATATACTGATTATGCCCTCTCCTCCATCTGATACATTTTTCCCTCTTGCTCTTTCTGACTAACCCCACTTATTCCTCAGGTCTCCATTTATTTTCTCATGTTTAAACATTTCTGAAATCAGGAATGTTTTACTTGAAAATCCAGACACTTTTTGAGATACAACTCTTACCACCTGTTATATAGGAATCTAGTTACACACAGAAAGTCTCTGTTTACTTTTTTTTTAAGGTTTTATTTATTTATTTTCAGAGAGGGAAGGGAGGGAGAAAGAGAAAGAGAGAGAGAAACATCAATGTGTGGTTGCTGGGGGTCATGGCCTGCAATCCAGGCATGTGCCCTGACTGGGAATCGAACCTGCGACACTGGTTCGCAGCCTGCGCTCAATCCACCGAGCTACGCCAGACAGGGCCAGAAAGTCTCTGTTAGCAGAACCATTTGCTCAGTTGAACTTATATTTACATTCACAATCATTACTTAAAATGAATTTTAAAAGCTTTCACTATGGTGTAGATCTGAAACAAAGTTGTAATGCATACATAAGAATGCCTGTCATGTGCTAAAAAATGCAACCGAAGGCAAGAGAAATTGCTCAAAATAAATCAAAGTTGAAAGCTAGGAGACATGATGTGACCAATTGATGTACTGGAAAGGTCACCACTCAAGCATCAGAAATCTGTCAAAAACTTTCAGCCTCGCCTGGCTAGTGTGGCTCAGCGGACTGAGCACTGGCCTGTGAACTGAAAGGTTGCTGGTTCAATTTCCAGTCAGGCCACATGCCTGGGTTGCGGGCCAGGTCCCCCACTGGGGGTGTACAAGAGACAACCAGTTGGTTGATTTTCTCTCCCTCTCTTTCTCCCTTCCCCTTTCTCTAAAAATAAATAAAATATTTTTTAAAAAATAACCTTTCAGCTTACTTTTGAGAACAGTTGATTAGCATCCAGTGCTATACAATTAAATTAAGGAAAAAAATTAGGAGGTTAACTTGAATTATTTTACTGGTTAGTTGAGGGAGATTAAGGTAAAAGTCAGGTGTAAGCCAGTGCTAAGAGTGAACAGAAACAACTGAGTAAGTTGAGTCAATCATTTGTCTGTTCCACAAATATCTATTTAGTGACTGCTGCATGTCAGACACCATGCTCAGTCCTGGATGCATTGGTAACCATGAGGGGGAGGCCCTTACTCTCACTAAGATTACAATCTAAATGCAACTATCCTTTAGAGTATAAAGCAAGTGGCATATGTAATTTCAAATTTTCTTGTAGCCATGTTAAAAGTAAAAATAAGTAAACTTAATTCTAATAATATATTTTACTTAACCCAATATATCCAACACATTATTATTTCAATATGTAATTAATATTTTAAAAATTGTTAATGAGACATGGACAAAAACTAGAGGGAGGTGGAAATGGGAGGCAGGTGGGGAGGGGTGGGTGGGTGGGCTGGAATGGGAATAAAAGGCAGAAAACTGTACTTGAACAATGATTAAAATAAAAAAATTGTTAATGAGGTATATTACATTTCATATTAAGTGTATATTTTATACTCACAGCCTCTATCAATTTGGATGCTAAATTTTCATTGGAAATACTTAATCTATATTTAGACTTCACAAAACTTACAGCTGAGTCAATTCACATACTCAAATTTTTCCAAATATACTTAACAGTTTCCAATAATTATCAGGTTTTAAGCTTTAAGTTAATTACAATTACATAAAATTTAAAATTCAGTTTCTCAGTTGAACTACACATTCCAAGAGCTCAACAGCCATTGCGCAGCTAGTGGCTACCATATTATATCATACAGCACAGCCCTAGTGAGTAATACAGACACCAAAATGAAAGATAATTAAAAATAGTATTATATGGACTTGGAACAATGACACACTATTAAGAAGTAAACAGCCATAATTATGTGGTAGAAGCAGATCAAAGAAAACAAATTGCTGCTAGAAACTGGTTTATTTGCAGGGGGTGGTTAGGACTGCAGACATGGGAATGCAGGTATAGGGGCATTCAAATCAATACTGTCATTTAGCATGGGGAGGGTATGGCCTTCTACAGACAAAATGCCCCACTGAGGATGTGACCTTGAGTTGGGTCTGACTGAAAAGAAAGGATCAGCCATGCAAAAAACGGGAGAAGTTTCCAGACATTTTTTTAAAGATGTTATTTGTTTTTAGAGAGTGGGGAGAAAGAGAGGGAGAGAAACATTGATTGGTTGCTTCTCAAACACTCCCAACCAGGGCCTGGCCCAGGGTGCCCAGACAGGGAATTGAACCAGTGACTTTTCTGTTTGCAGGACAACACCCAACCCACTGAGTTACACCAGTCAGGGCAGCTTCCAGGCATTTCTGAAGCCGGTGCAGCTGAAGAGTAGTTGGGGGGTGTGGGGTGGGCAGGGGGTGTAAAAAAGAGGTCAGGCACCAGATCATGGCCATAGCAAAAAATCTGCTTTTTGTTCTAAGGACAATGAGGCACCTCATGGCCAATGACAGAGTAAGTGGTTTCTAGATCCAAAGTACTACAGTTCCTTTTTCTTAAGGTGGTGCCAGCAAATCTGTTCCTTGTAAACATAAGAGCCTAATTAAAACACAAACAAGAGTACCTATAATTACTAAGCACAAACTCTGGCCTCAATCATTCTGACGCCCTGTACATATCTTATGATTTCATTCTCATAACACCTTATGAAGCTGGAGATGGTAACTTCGCTTTCACGTCGGAAAGGTGAAGCAGCCTGTTCAAGGTTTCACAGAGAACGGAGATCTGAGCACAGATCAATCTGATTACAAATTTCAGAGCTTTCTGAACACACATTAATACCTAAAAGACACATCAGTCCTGCTGGAAAGCACATTCCAGTACACCGGCAGTAAACACGCTCACTTCACCTTGTCTCTAGTGTTTCTCCTTCAGCTTCTCAAAGACTGTGATGTGGGGGAAACGGAAGCAGCATCGTAATGTAGCCTCTGTATTTCACTACAAAAACTGTCTTTCTTCTTCTTCATTGTGATAAACATGGTGGTTACTCAGTAACCCATGAAAATGTTTGCCTAAAATCTGGCCCTGGAAGCCTCCCTCCCACAGAGTGATCCGATCAAACAGACCCATGACATTCTTCTAACCCATGAAAGTTCTGCTTTGCTCCCCACCTCTCTGGAAAAATAGAAGACACACGATTTGAATGAAAGAAGCTTTCCAGCCCTGGCTGGCGTAGCTCAGTAGATTGAGCACGGGCTGCGAACCAAAGCATCGCAGGTTCAATTCCCAGTCAGGGCACATGCCTGGGTTGCAGGCCATGTCCCCAGTGGGGGCCACATGAGAGGCAACCACACATTGTTGTTTCTCTCTCTCTCTTTCTCCCTCCCTTCCCCTCTCTAAAAATAAATAAAATCTTAAAAAAAAAGAGAAGCTTTCCTAAACATTTGTGAATATTTTTAATTAAAAAAAAAACAGGTACAGAGATGTATATGTGAGGGACTTTGAGCACATTAATTGCTAAATATTTTTGAGCAAAACAAAGACCTTTAAATATGATCAAGGCCAAATGTGATAGCGTATACAAGGGGAGCGGATATCATAAGCTTTAAAGCAGCAGGGCCCAGTACAAATTGAAAAGGGTTCTACAAGTGAAAGTCTTGGTAAGAGATTAAATGAAATTTGGTTTTTCAGAGCTTAGATCTAGGAGCTCTCCCAGTTCAAACTCTGCATTTTATAAAGAAGCTGAGGTCGAGAGAAAACTGATTTGTCTCAAGTCACAGTGCAAGTTAATATCAAAAGTAGAAATTAAAGCTTATGTGTCCAAATTCCAGTGCTTTTTCTGTTAGTTCACACTTCTTATTTTTCTTCTTTTAGCAATCAATGTCTAAGCACTAGGCTTGTCCAACCAATACCGTGTCCAACGAATGATGACAAACTTAAGAGTCCTTGCCCCTGTAGAAGATGTTCTAGAAGCTCTCAGGTCACAGATAAGATCTTACGGGAACAGTTTTAAGCGGCCTATGCATCCCAACAGAATATGTTCGTGCAAACGCTACCCCACACTAAGTGGCTGTGAGATCCGAGCCATAAGGCTTAGGACCAAACGAGAACGAACGTATTTACTTCCCCAGTCGCGTCTCCTCACCTTCTGCACCTGCTCTGCGAGCGCCACGAGGTCTAAGGGGTCCCCGGCCCGGTGGGTGTGGTAGGGGCTCACTAGGGCCAGGCCGCCGGGGGTCGCGGTGAGTTCCACCAGGGCTCCTGCGACACACACCCAGGAACACAGGCCGTGAGGTCCCGCCCTCATCCTCCCACGGAGCCCGGCAGACTAGCTGCCCCAAGTAGCCCTCTTTTCCCCTTTGACTCCCGCCCGGCGTACCTCCCCGATCTGTCGCTGACTGAACTTGGTTTTCACGGACTCCCTCGGTCTGTAAAGGCGTAGCACCGTCCTCCATGACAGCACTTACCACCCCACAGGCCTAGCTGCCAGCGACAGCGGAGCACGCGCATAAAGGCCCATGGGCGGAGCTTCCGTGCTCCCTGGCCATTGGACGTCAGAGCTGAGATCTCGGAGGCGGGGCTCCGGCTTCCCCATGGGGTTCCTCTGAGAGGCGGAGTCCAAAGCTTCCAAAACTAGCAGAACTCAGCTGAGAGGCGGGGCTTCACTCGGGGGCGGGAATGGGGCGGGGCTTCCAGGGACTGGGGCTCCGGCCTCCGTGGCTGGTGGCGAGCAATCGGGTTAGGTCTAAGGAGGTGATGGCGGCACGCGTGCTGAAGCTGCAAACAGCACTGCTGGCAGTTGCTGTCGCTGCCTCCCGGGCCCAGACCGAGTCCGAGGCAGGGTGGGACTTGTCGGCGCCGGATCTGCTCTTTGCGGATGGGACTGCGGCCTACGCGCGAGGGGATTGGCCCGGGGTGGTATTGAGCATGGAGCGGGCGCTGCGCTCCCGGGCCGCCCTACGAGCCCTCCGTCTGCGCTGTCGCACCCGGTGTGCCGCCGATTTCCCGTGGAAGCTGGATCCGGACTCGGCCCCTAGCCTGATGCAAGCCTCGGGCGCCGCCGCCCTGCACGACCTGCGCTTCTTCGGGGGCCTGCTGCACCGCGCCGCCTGTTTGCGCCGCTGCCTCGGGCCGCCGGCCGCCCACTCTCTCAGCGAGGAGCTGGAGTTGGAATTCCACAAGCGGAGCCCCTACAACTACCTGCAGGTCGCCTACTTCAAGGTGCAGAACTGTCCGGGCCGGGGGTCCTTCTGGGCGGGGTTCAAGGCGACCCGGGGTAACTTGGGGAGCCTGGGAAGTGTCCGCAGAGAGGGAAGATGGTCTCTTGGCCCGGGAGCTCTCCTAGGACCCAGGGAGAGCAAGGACCCTGTCAAGAGACCTGCCTCACCCGCTTCGCCTAATCAGATGGTAACCCCAAAGGTCCAGCCTAGGCACCCTCCAAGCAAAACTTGGCCTGTGTTTCCCTGAGGGACCTCCTAAAGGGAACTAAAGCGGCAGCTTGGGTCTCTCACTCTGATCTTGTTGTGAGTGTCCGAGTGAGAAGCTAGGACCTTTCTACAATTTCTTCCTTCCGGTTCGTTTTCAGTGATGCTTTTCCTGCTGCCCGAGTGCCCCAGCTTTCTTTCAGGACGAGAGGTTGCCACGTCGCCAGTAGGGGCGGTCTGGCCCCTCCCAGTGGGGGACCCTCTGCCTAGTCTGGTTTCCAAAGAAAATGAGTAATTTTAGGAATTCCAGAGTGCCTTAAGTCCAAGTGTATAAATGGATTTGGCGTACACCTGGCTTGCTTGATGATGATGATGATGATGATGATGATGATGATGATGATGAAAGCCAGCACATACTTTCAGGCACTCTGTGTTTATTAATACATTTGCCCAGACCCTGGAATATCCTGTAAGGTGGGTACTATTATTAGCCGCGTTTCATTGGGTGAAAAAAGAAGGAGCAGTGCTGTACATCTGCAATATTCGTAGTGTAAAAGGCCTTGAATTCAACACAAAGGGAGACTCAGAAAACCTCAGGGACCTCAGCTTTCCACCGCTCCACAAGTATTTTGTGTACACAGCTCTGCTCCATTCCTCGAGCTACTCAGAAGAGTACTGGGCTTGAAACCGAAATAACTGGGCTATCTTTGATCATTCGCTTAACAGTGCTTTTTAAAATTCTTTGACAAACACTTATCGAATACCTACTACATTTCAGTTCTTGTGCAGGTCATTAATGTGCTTGACTTCTTGGTTTTTTGTTCGTCTTGCTTTGCTGTTAAGAATCACTATAATGAGGGCTCCTAAGGGGTGTGTACATAGGGCTGTGGGAGCACAAAGGAGGGGGAGTCTAGCTTTGTCTCAGAGAAATCAGAGAGGCTTCAAAGAAGAGGTGACATTGGAAGTTGATTCTAGATATTGCTAGAGGAGAGCAAGGATGGCCATTCCAGGTAGAGGGAGGCCAGACTGGGAAGAGAATTCTGTAGGCTGCAGGGAGCCATCATTAAACTGGGTTTTAGAATGTTAGTTAACCCTGGAAACCACGTGGAACGAGCCTTGGAAGAAGGAGTAAGTGGTGGCAGGACGGACCATTAGGAGACACTGCAGCTGTTCACATGAGAGAAGGAAACTAGTGTACAGCACTGGGGTGGGGGGAGAACAGAGAAAGCAAAAGCAATGCTAAGAGATGAGAAAGAAAATAAATCCATAAAAGGAATGGGCTTGAGAGAATGGAAACAGGTACAGAGACGGGGAGTCTTGACCTTGGGTCACAGTCAGGGCTGACTCCTTGTTTAGTATGCATTTACTAGGAGCAATGATCAGAAAAGAAAAAATTCTACCATATTAATAAGATGCTAAGGTTTACATTTATTGAGCACTTACTATGTGCCCAGTACCGTGTGTTAGAAGCTGCATGTATATTATTATCTGGTTTAACAATGCTATGAAGTAGTGAGTGCTGTCTCCAGATGACAGATGAGGGAACTGATCTGTAAACTTTAACTTGCCTAAAGCCCCAGCAAGGGAATAATTAAACCTAGATTTAGCCCTGGCCAGGTAGCTCAGTTGGTTGGAGGGTTGTCCCTATATTCCCAGTATGTGAGTTCAGTCTCCTGTCAGGATACATACAAGAATCAACTGGTGAATGCATAAAGAAGTGGAACAGCAAACTGATGTCTCTCTCTCTCTCTCTCTCTCTCTCTCTCTCTCTCTCTCTCTCTCTCTCTCTCTCTCCCTTCCCCCTCTCTCTAAAATCAATTTTAAAAAATAACCCCTTGATTTATCACTGGTCTGACACCAAAGCCTATTAGTTAATCATTAGATCATCAGTGATTTATTTTTGTGTTACTTTGATACACTGGAGTCCATTGCTGTGGGCATTATTGTGGCCTGTGGCACATGCCCCCCTCAGATGTCTGTGTAGCCACTTGCTTTAACCTCATGAGTCAGAAGCTGCCATGTCTGGATTGTATAGGAATGTAGGATTTTTCAGCCACCCATCTTTTTCTTGAATGTGTGAAAACACTTATTATTTTATGCCTCTCCCCCAAATTTTTTTTCTAGGCAAATTCTTAGGCATGGTCTGTTAACTGCTCTTTCTTCCCTAACCCTAAATCCATAAAGCCTTAGATTTTCTTCAGCTCAGTCCATGTATCTGAATCTTGAGAATATATTATTTGGGTAGTCAGCCTTCTATAGTGTTCCCCTTATAATACAACCTTTGTTCTAAAGCAGAATGTTTGCAACTGTTGAAGCATGCCCTCCTATAATTTGGGGAGCCCCTATGCCTGATCTTTAGGAAATAGCTGAAAATCTGCCCAGGGCCCTGTGCTCAATCTCTGGCATCCACGTAGTTCTCGCCAGAGGCGTGTTCTCTGGGGCAGGCAGGGCTGGGGCACACAGAGTGGAAGGCTTGAGAAGGCTGACATTTCCTGTTTACCGGGGACGGTGCGTCTGGACACAGACCTCCAGGATCGGGCTGTGAGAATCAGGGTCTTGTGCTTCATCCTTAGATAAACAAGGTGGAGAAGGCCGTCGCAGCAGCGCACACCTTCTTCGTGGGCAATCCCGAGCACATGGAGATGCGTCAGAACCTGGACTACTACCAGACCATGTCCGGGGTGAAGGAGGCGGACTTCAAGGACCTCGAGGCAAAACCTCATATGGTGAAAAACTCTATCCTCTTCTCTCTTTTTGTTAGAGTGACACTTTCCAGGGTTGTTTTCTGATTCCAGAAGTAATATATGTTCACCATTAGAAAAATGCAGCTAAGTATAAAGCAGAAAAGTGATCATTTATAATACTGCCATCTTAGGAAAACCAGTAGATGATATTTTGGCCTCTATTTTAAGTATTCTGAATGTAATTTTTAAGCATAATTTGAAGTCATGTTCTGTGTGTATTTTTTCATCATCCTTTTTGAACTAACATTATATCATGAGCCTTTTCTCATGTCTTCACATTTTCTTTTAAAACACATTTTTTAATGGCTGCATGCTGTCCACTAGGCACAGTTTTTTGGTTGTGTGGGTTTTGCTTTTCACTGTAGTAAGTGGTACCGTATTCTTGAATGTTCTCATTCTGTCTTTTTAGCAGGAAAAGTACGTGTTCCGCAAGAGATGTCCGTAATGACACAGCATTTTTATAAAGAGCTATGTTCTCTTAAGGTTTAATAGTTTAGAAATAGAGATACCCATATTAGAAACAATATTAGAATGACTTCTAAATGCAAATTTTGTACACCTAGTACATAATACAGCTGCACACAGCTTGGTGGGGGTGGGGGGGGTTCTGTTTGTTTTTCAGTGATTCTGTGACACATGGAAATGGCCGTTGTCCACGGAAGGGGAGCTGTGTCCCACAGACAGCAAAAACAGAGCCTGCCAAGTCATGCTTCACTGCTGGGAAGATGGCTCTCATCACCACAGGCCACTCTGTAGCATTTTAAGAGTTAAATTTTTTTCATTAAACTTTTATTTTGAAAACTTTAGCCCCACAGAAAAGTGAAGCAAATTACAATGAACTCCCACATCTTTCATCTAGATCTAGCTACATGTTTTTAAATTTCAAACGAAGCAACTCAAGACCATTTACCGAAGGCTTTCATTTGTAGCAGCCCCTTCCCATCGGTCACCTGAGAGGAGCAGGCAGTGAGGGCCCTCACAAAGGTGGTGGGGTTCCTTCCCGGTCCCCAGAAGGGGGCTGTCGGTGGCCTGCGTTTGAGTACTCCTTCCTCCCAGTAGGACGAGTTCCGGCTGGGAGTGCGACTCTACTCAGAGGAGCAGCCGCAGGAAGCCGTGCCCCACCTAGAGGCGGCGCTGCGGGAGTACTTTGTGGCGGACGAGGAGTGCCGGGCCCTCTGCGAAGGGCCCTACGACTATGACGGCTACAACTACCTCGAGTACAACGCGGACCTCTTCCAGGCCATCACAGGTGCGCGGCCAGGCCTGTCTGAGCCCTGGGGACATGTCTTGAAAACGCTCACAGCATCTTCAACCTCATTTCTAAATTTCTTAAATCTGGGAATCCGCCT